CAGAAATAAAAATTTCTGTTCCGCACATACGTACAGACAGACAGACATACAGGCAGACAAACACACATTCAGCTTTAATTATAAGAATTTGTCTTCCATAATTTTCTGTTTGAGAATTATGGGCAACCTTTGGCCACCGACTATGCTAACAATTATGGGACTGGAGCGAGTATTTGCTAGTATGGTACCATTTTTCTACATGAGATACATTCGTGACAGGTATCGTAAGTCTTTTTAGATCTTGCTGTGGGCTCATTACTTGAATAGATGTCTCGAACAACTTCAATACTAGTTCTAAGTGAGTCAGTAAGCGTTTCCAAGATTGTTATCCGTTTATCAATGCGATCAAGCCAAGTCGACGGTTCGGAGAGAGTCGCCTTTGTCAAGACTTGGAAGGTGAGTCATAGTAGTGATAAAATATCTGTTAAGTCAAGCGTTGCGTTCATAAGGCCGGCCTGCAAAATATGTTAAGAGTGAAATCCCGCCCTCAAACCTCTAACAGCGCTAGTGCCTAACAGAAATTACGATCCAGCCTGTTCGAAAACAGACTGAATGCATGAATTTCTAACAAGCCCAGAAACTGCATATGTCGCGGCGCTGTGTACTTGATCCTTGCAAATTTGTGGGGAGAATTTTGGAGAAACAAGACGTGCACGAATTAACGAAAAGTCTACGCCTCTGGGCGCAAATTGTGTACGTGCCATTAGAACGTACAGTTTAAAACTAACATTGTTATTCTTTTGCAAAAACCGACATTGCAGCACGAAAACTCATAGAGGCTGCTGAATCACGTTCAAAGGTCCTAAACTGAACAGAAAGGAAGAGAAAATGGCTATCAACACTAAGTCCCATCAGTCCCATTCTTATCAATGTGTGGGAGTCTGACCATTAAAGGGAACCTCATCTATCATAAGAGTTAGCATATAGTGGCCTGACTAAGTGTTCAGAGTGGTGGACAGCCACTTGAGCTGCATTGTTGAAGGTATGTCGAGCGTCGGAGAATCGAATATTGACTCACTTTCCAGTCTTGACAAAGGCGACCCCCCCCCCCCGAAATGTCGACCTGTTTACTGGCTTGATTGCATTAATAAATGGATAACAATCTTGGAAACGCTTGCTGACTTACTGAGAACTAACAAATTAAACATAAAATTTTTGGTTCTATGCTGTTTTTCAATCTCAATCTATTTTTCCTCCTAATGCGTTCTACAAGCGTGTCATACTTGTTTTCAAAGTCAACGGCGATAACATTTGCAAAATTTTGGGCGGCCTTGGCGAGCCTCTTTGCAGCCGTTCGGAGATCAGAAGTTATAGTTGAGACAAGAGAGAAAAATCAACACTATGAAGCTACCAGTCCCCATAGTAATAATAGCATAGGAGAACCTTTATAGAAGGACGTGGTTAATAGGACCATTATAGCAAAACCGGGCAAAGTCAAAACTCAGTCAATGCTGCATTTTTGAAGGTCTGTCCAGCTGAGTGCATTCAGCATAGCCGTTGTGCTAATGTTTTGTGCTATAGGCCTTTCTATCTCCATCAGTAACGCTGGAAAGGGTAACGTTAAATTTGACTGTGGTAGGTTTACAGATTTCTTTTCGAATTTCGTTACCTTGATACATCAGTTTAGGTAGGAAAGCTACCTTTTCTGTAGCTTATGCACAATCAATATACTATTGGGAAATGTTGGGCTACTTTTTCAGTTTACTACTGAACCTCTGTGCCTATATTCGTGCCAAACTCATCCTATCTTCGTGAGTTGTTCATTAAATTTAAAACTTGCGACAACACACTTTCAATAAAAAAAGTTTATGTTGTGAAGCTAACAACAACTCATAACCTTTCATTAACTTCTAAATCTGGATATGTTTGATTATACAACCTCTTGTGCTGCAGAGCGTCCTCCCCAAAGAACGGCCGCACTGTTTAACAACGGAAAGCACTTTTTTCTCAATGTTTTCTAACCGTCGTATCCAGGGCACGGCACAGGTGGCTTACCAAGCAAGCTGGATATCGTTTTTGGGAAAAAAAGCAAAGGGGATATCGTTTTTGCGGAAGAGCATAACGTTGTCTTTCGATCTGCGGCCGGCACGCTGCCGGCATACCGCCAGCAAATAAACAAAGGGTTTGTTTACAGCGGAGTGAAGATGAAATGACACCAAAATAGGTGTATAGATGGGCATTGGGGTGTTAGGACTAAGTATGAAAAATTATGAAAAAATTATGTGAACTAAAGGCGTGCTCAACTTTTTTCTGAGTTAGGTGGCTTTCAAGCCACCTGGATAGCCACCTGAGGTGGCTTAGGAAGGAAAAAGTCATAAATTTCTCCCCCCTCACATAATTTTTCTACCTTCTTTACATACTTTTCATCTACACCCCAAACCCTACAAATTGGTTCCGAAATCGCCTCAAACCTCCTTCTCCCCGCTTATAAGCGGGCTATAACTATAGTTATAGCCCCTTGAAAATTTTGAATGGCGGCGGAAAGGCTGCTCTAGGCGCGTATTGCTGCACGATGGATACATCATGCCAATCCGGAGAATATGGATATCATCGCGTATCTTCGATAATTCTTTTTCGTTTTTTTTTGCTTTGCTTTGTTCCATTCCTTTTCATGTATTTTCTCTTCGAATATAGCGTGGCGGATGCGTAATTCAATGAAGCCAAAGGGGACTTCATTTTTTGCAATTTCGGGACGCCGCCTCGTGCCGAGCCCTGGTCTAGGGTCAAAGGGGACTTCGTAAAAATTCGCAAAAGTCAAGGGTGACTTCGTTTTTTGCATTTTCAACTAGCCACCTCGTGCCGAGCCCTGGTCGTATCTAATGGCTAACTTTCTTAGATTTGCAGTGTACAAAACGAACTATCGGTTTTTATGCGTTACTGTAGGATCTTGAAAGCCATATTTTGCTTCAGAATGGAAATCCATAAAAACCTGCACTTTTTATGCTAAAAGAACCGCTGACCTTTGTTCCATACAAAGTAATCGTGACAACGTTCTCCGTGTTCCTTGGATGTGATTAAACTCTAACATCATTTGTGAACGAACTATGACATCGTATACGAAACACTAATGTTTCGTCTCAGTGGCTATATATACAGGATGTCCCAAAAAAATGTATCGAACGTTTGATCCTAAATCCCCTACATGGAAAGCTTTCGCAGATCTTTGAATGTCATATGGCAGAGCTGGGTTCAACCGTTAGTTTTACAGCATAGAGCGAATCACCTATTTCTCTTGGGTTACTGCAGGATTACGGTAGGAATTTTCGACTAATTTTAAGCTTCTGACAGGCGAGAACTGCTTTCAAAAAATCCAAAAAGACCAGAGGACGTTAAACTGAGTTTCCGCGGATGCTGAACCTAATAATCACAAAGTTTTTCGCTATCGTACCCTTCATCTTCATACGATAAGCGCACTGTAATGCCTAATTTTTTGGTTTTTTTCCAAAATTTACTAAATCAACGTTACAATAACTAACACGACGTCGAAAGCCAAAAATTTAGCGTTACAGTGCGCATACCGTAGGAAGATGAAAAGTACGGTAGGATAACTTCGTAATTAAATTTAGCATCCCCAAAAACCTCAATTCAACGTCGTTCGGTTTTCTTGGAATTTTTTAGAGGCAGTTCTCGACTGTCAGAAGCTTAAAATCAGTCAAAAATTCCTACCGTACTCTTACAGTACAAGAGAAATCGGTGATTCGCTCTATGCTGTAAATTTGAAGTTGAACCCAGCTCTGCCATATGACACTCAAAGATCTGCGAAAGCTTTCCATATAGGGGAGTTATCAAAGATCAAACGTGCGATACATTTTTTGGGATACCCTGTATTATCTTTATCATGAACTATAAATTTTTTTGCGCATTTCGTCATTCCAAAAGATACAATCGAACACTGGAATTAGTTGCAAGAAAAGCGCAGAAAGCTTGAATGAGTCAGTCTCGCCTTGCTAGCAGCGAAAGTACGGAAAGCATATATGGATGGCATCGTTTCTGTGTACTTGATAATCTATACACAGAGTTAGCCTTGCCGTTGAAACTATGGAAATTATTTTTTTATTTAATACTTCAAAGCCTTCCGTACTCAAAAGCAATGGAATGGTATTTATAGTCTTTAATTCAACGGTAGTGGCGGATGGAAGGCGACCGCTCCTGAGAGTAAGGCAAATTGCGCCTTGGGGTGCTCCCTAATCATTCCCTAGGCTTGATTAGCGATCCAAGCCCGCCTTCCACCCGCCACTCCCGATCAATCAAAGGGTATTGTAAATGGAACTGGAATAATAATTACTATGTATTTAGTTTGAGTTACCTTTCATAGCAAAAGCGTGGTGAATCAGTCTGCATGAATGACTGTCATGCCCCTGCAGATACCAAAATTAATTTTCTGAACGGCAATCGGTATCCATGCTTTCTCGTTAGTCAACCAAAGATGATCTTGAGAATATACAATCAAGCAGTTGGAGGTGTGGGTGACGGATTTACCGGTCAGCTTTACTCAACTGGTTTGCCGAGGAGAGCAAAACTATAAGAAAATTTCAATAAGGTTTTAAAAAGGGATAACTACTGCGTAATTATGACTAAGAAGCCACAAAGGCTTGATAGGTGCCGACTCGGTTGTCATGGTAATGCACTCTTATTTTAATTTTAATCGTCTATAAAGAGTTGCAGAATCGTAAAAAAAAGTCAAGTAGTGTCGCAGCGCGTAAAGTAGCTGCTTAACAGCTTTTCGAAACTTTTGTGTTCTGTTTTGACTCTCTTTGCTAGAGGCCAGCCGTAATCTTAGGTTAGGAACCCTGCTACAGCAAGAAGTGATCGGTGATTTACTTTATAAGATAAATACACTAGAACCAGTCCTTCCATATGACACTACGAAACATGAAGACAAAAATTATTATTGTTTTTTAGAGCGAATATTTTTGGATTATTCTGTAAAAATCATTTTCGAGTTGTATTTCTGACCAGTCTGGATCTCGGAATTGTTCCTCACTGCATTGATTTTTCAGGTCAGTTCGCGATCAAATGAGAAGAATCCGATATGGATTGGTGTTGGGTGTCATATCCACAGTACTAGTGTCTGTTCCAAATTTGAAATCTCTATTTCTTGACCAGCTCCGATTTGTGAGTTCTCTTCCGGCTTCCCGTATTTGCCTTGCTAGCAGATAATGAGAACGTTCCATTCACAAGTATACGGTTATTGTAGCTTGTGAGAAAGGTAGCGCAACAATTAGATTTGACGTTCGTCATCAAATATGCCTTCGTGACCTGCATACTTTGGATAAAAAGCTAATGTGTTTATTCTGCAAGAAGCGTAATTCGCCAGCAACCTTTCTGGCGACTGCAGAAAAATTAGATTATTTCGCTTCGAAATTGTAACAGAAGGGTAAAGCATTTCGGCGAACTCCAATTCAAAAGAAAATCATCAAGCAAGAGCAGCAAATTATTTTTAAATCTCTGCAGGCAGGAATGGACGAATGGGTTTCGCAAATGTTCAACTGGGCCAGTATTATTAATTCGTCTATCAACATAATTGTCTATATTTGGCTAAACAAAGAGTTCCGTCATCAATTTGGCCGCGCATTCAATAGTAAGTATCCCCAAATCAAAGTGAGTGCTCGTAAAAAAATGCATTCAGTTCGTTGCTTGGAGCAGAGTTCGCCTGTCACTCTCATCGCACCGACCATAGCACCAACAAAAATCGCTTTAAGAACATTTGATTAGTCGAATAATTACGCACTTGTCCTTAATAAAGCGAAAAACAATGATGTGTTACTTTGTATGCACGATGGGAAAAACGAGAAAAACCTACTGTGATTTTGTTGTCGATATATAGCCGCTTTTACTACAGTACCTGGACACTATTATGAATCCACTCTGAAAATACCTGTAATTTGCGTTTTTGTTGATGACCCTGTCCGGAACTTTGCTGTTGCGCATGTTAGCTTGCGATAATTTGACATATCACCTCCCAATCCCGTTGAGTGCGACTGAAGAAAAAAAAAGAAAATTTCGAGAACCGCTTTGAAAGCTGGACAGTATAATCGATCCACGAGCTTTCTTCAAATACTGTCGCATTCTTTGATTCTTGAATTTTTATCTGCACACTTAATTTCAAAAGAAACATTTGGGACACCTAAGGGTTGTCATTCTATTCGAAGAAATGATCGCTGCTTCTTTGCTTTCAGAAGCATCAAAAGTTCTGCTTTGACAAACGGCTGAATCGAAGAGCTCTGAAGTTCTCTTAGTTCGAATGATAGTCTCGAATCTGCTCAGCGAATTAGTATGGGAAAAGTTTCCTACTAATTCGAAAAAAAGTTGAGCATGGCTTCATTCACATAAGTTTCCGCGAGAGGTCGGCGGCATGTTGGCAGCTCCTCCGCTCCTGAGCCCGCGAAAATGATATCCCTTTGCTCCTCCCCTAAGAAACGAAATCCGGCTTAACCTGGTTCCATCTGTGCCGGGGCCTCATTTTGTTACAATGTCATGTCCACATTATGTATAGGGGAGGCTTTGCACTACTATCACAGTAAAGCTGCACTCAAAAGCTGTTCCACTGACAAAAATAGAATCTGTGATTACAATATTGAGTAAAAACTGGGAACTTTGAATGCGTGGGGGCGACTATATCTTTCAAATTATTTTATATGTGGCTAATGCAACAGACGCTGGATTCTGAAGTAAATTTCTCTTCATATGTCGCTTACATGAAAGTTTAGTTTGGCATGACGAAACGTCCAATCCTCGTTGTAGCCAATTTTCCAATTTTCCTTCACGCGAAGGTGTCAAATGTTGCATGCGGCATACACATGCCTGAGGTAGAATTCCCATGATTTTGATCTTACATCACATGAAAAATTCCCTTCAAAGTATATTGTAGCTGGAAGCTTGCTTTGTCATATTGTGTTTTCTTTGTGCGATAGGAACTATTCCTAAAGGCGTGGGACGAAATCTATGATGATCACCGGCTTGCCAATGCAGCAGCAACGCTAACAGTGCAAAGGCTTGTGTTTGTGGGTAAAGGTGCACATTCAAAACTCAAATTCTGTATTGTATTTATTATTGTTTGAGTAAGGTGTGCACCAAATTTTATATCTCCATATTTTTTCATTCCGTTTCTGTCGAAAAGTACTAGGCTACAAGGTTTTTGGAAGCCCTGTACAACGAACAGGCGTTGATATGACACCTTCGAAGTGAAGATAACGAATGCAGCTCCGCAGTCCAGTGTTATGAAATAATAGTTAACCGTCGCAAAAGTTATCGAAGAGGCAGTTTTATCACCGTTAACACATTCACGACAAGGCCGTTTTTTCGACTACCGCTGTTTCGGGCCAGTGGCTTTTTTGCTTTGTTAAACTTATGACCCACCCGTGGATCGTATTGTTCGAAATGGCAGTCTTTTCAAAAAAAATTTCAAACATGTCTCCGAGAATTTCCCCACAAGGGTTATTGAAGGCGTTGATTATGAAAATATGATTAATTTCGGTTTTTGGCGTTATACGGTAAGGTTATTGTAGCCGTTCTGTACGAACCCAAAACCATGGATTTTAAACAAAAATTGTGTCTTGGCAAGTGCTGATCACGATTATAGGGCACACTTTGTTTAATACCTTCCCACAATAGGACTACGGTAGCAGTACGGTAGAATTTTCGTAAAAATCAAGAACTGATATAAGAAGGCGGTATTAGAACTTGAGACTACCATTTTCGTAATCAGCATGCTACAAAACCTATACTGGGTGTTCCAAAAGTAAGTACACACTTTTCAATCGTTAAAGGCAGTGTCCAGGCTAAACCTAACCCCCTCCGGTTAGTGTCGATCCTGAATGTAGGCCCCAGAAAGGGGGCATCTACGTTGGTCCGGTCTTCTAACGTTGTCTCTGAATGGAGATAAGGGGCCTGAAAGCCCCTGGCTGGGCGGAGTCTGATATCAGACTCCGCCCATCAGGGACTGCTCACTACCTTGTCAATACGTGACTCCTGACACGTATTGAGAAGGTAGTGAGCAGAAGCTGCACACTGCACACTGCAATGCAACTGCACCCATGCAGTTGCAGCTCCTTCCCGCTGACCTGCCGAGGGGGACAAGCAATTCAAAACTCGTCCGTGCTGCCCTCAAGACTGGGTCCCCAAGAATCGGGTTTTTTGTGAATTTTAGAGAGTTTGAAGTTCGGAACTGTAATCAGGGTCACGGAAAGGCCCCAGAATGACGAAAACATGGGGGGCCAAATTCTGGGTGGACGCTGCCTTTAATATCTCGCTTCCTATTGTGTCTTTTTCCGCCGTTCAACTACTGTTTTGTAGAGGAGGCTCCAACTTAGATTCACCGTATTGATCGAATCATCGATCGCTCTTCGCTACAGAAGGATTAAGGTAAGAACTTCCAGCATATGGAACCATTGTTAAATATCAAAAAGGTTGCCACAACCTTGCCAACCACCACACGAACGGCACACGTTTATTGCCGATTACTTCAAACACGGGTAATTAAACCCTCATTCTGCCTAGATATACACACACGTAGACAACGAAGCAATAACATGAAAAATTGACGAAATCGCTAGCAAAATGGTTGGAACTATGATGACGATAAGTCAAGCCAAAATGATATCTTGTGAATTTGGACTACGTGTAGGAAATGTTCAAAAGGAGATTAGAAAACCTAAGATAGGAATGTTTTTAATGGGCTTTCTACGTACAAGGAATGAGCGGATAGTAAGGCAACACAAGCAATGAGTGCAAGTGATGGAAAATACATGAGTAATAATGACTAAGTATCGGTGGCGTACCCAGGATTTCGGCGGGGGGGGGGGGGCGACAAAAATTTTTTCCTATTGAACGTGCGTGGCGTTAGCCACGCATTCAAAAAAAATTTTTGGGGTGCTTCTCAAAATTTTTGCGGGTCCCCAACCCCTAAAATCTGGAAAAAGGGGGCGTGGCGTCAGCCTTCGAAGAAAATTTTTTTACAAGGCTAATTTGTATTTTTGAAAATCAAAAATTATTTTAATTATTTACAAGTAAAGACAAGTCCTTTGCACATGAGTCATCGTGTGCATGATATTGCTCAATGCATCGATTTTGTTAGATGGCATATTTATCCGCGATAAATATGCCATCTAACAAAATTTTTTTCAAAAAACCTGAAAAACCGTGTGCTAGGGTTTTCGCACACGCTGATTCCACTACACGACATCTTACGAGTGTTTTCAGCTTTTTTGACGGTAATCTTATTTTTGACAGACTGAAAGTTCGGTTATTACGGTTTACCTGAGATAACCTTGAAAAGAAGCATCACAGTAAAGTGGAAATTTCGTATTCGAAATCAGCGGATTCCATTACTCTAGTATAAGAGTTTATGGCTTGCTTGATTCTGTTCCGAGGCAGAATATGGCTTTCAGTGGCCTAAAATCCTTGTCGAAGTTCCTACAGTAATTCTACAGTAATGACGAGCGATCGGTGATTCACTTGATACTGCAAACCTAAGTTGAAGCCTCCTCTACAGAATGGTAGTTAAATGGCGAAAGAAGACACAATTAAGAAGATAGATATTAACGAGTGTGTACTTACTTTTGGGACACCCTGTATATGTAAGATTTGAGTTTCCTGGGACGAAAAATGAAAGAACCAATAAAATCGATAAAATCGATAATTTTTTGATGGGATAACATCTGTCCCGTGCCCTCCCCGTATTCTTGTGCATGTAAACTCGAATTTTCAAAAACAGCGCCAGCTGCGAAAGGTATAAGCTAAAGACTGTGCCTTATCTTTATCTACGGTATACTATACCTCCGTAACACATTGGATTACAGTATTCCGATCCCGGACCATTCTGGCTGGAGCTTCGCCAAGGGTGTCCCCAATCATATGCCAGAACATAGATGCGATAGGGGAAGCAGGGTCCCCTCCGGTTAAAGAGGGTGTGGCTACCTTCGACTTAGAAAAGTGAAGGGGTAACGGGCCCGCTCAGACAATCGCTGGGGGCAGGCGGGCACCGGAAAAATAGATTGATGATTTCTCGCACCCCGCTCGCGGATTTTTTGCAAAGCAATCAAGACTTTTCGGAAGACCGCTTGCTGAGTCAGCGGATTTTTGAGAGACCGCCTGTTGAATTTTTTTCTTGCTCTTATCTTTTGCAGATATATTGCTGAATCTCTGAGGAATCGAGAACTCAGCAAGCGGTCTTCCGAAAAGTCCTGATTGCTTTCCAAAAAATCCGCGAGCGGGGTGCGAGAGATCAGCAATCTATTTTTCCGGTGCCCGCCTGTCCCCGGCGATTGTCTGAGCGGAGGCGTATGCTGATGTAAGCTTACCTGCCGAGCGAGACTGGGGTGTGCAAAAAAGGAGGATAAGTGGTACAAAGGTGGAATGTGACGAATTTTTCAATGCTTTCCTTTGAAAGGTCATCGAACAAAAACTTTTTTGATTCAGGAAAGCTTTGTGTATTATCCATATACCCTTCGAAAGCTTGAAACATGTGACGTAGATCGTCTCTTTTTCCCAGCTTTTCTTTGAAGCGAGATATGAGCAGTTTTATACCCCTACTCACCAGCTAATTCTGTGTGATTATTTGTGCCTCATTTTTGAAAGGAAGAACAAAGTTAGAAAAAGATACGGTCTGCGTTTACTGGCAAGGACTTATACTGTTAGACAAACAGGCAATTTCATTCATTCTTCACGCAGGAATTTCTTGATAAATACACACATGTTTTTAGCTATAAATGCCATGTATCTCTGAGTAGAGGGGAGCTAGAGAAAAAGAGACGGTCTGTGTCGAATCCCTGTTTTGTGGGCTTTCTAATTGTATAGGTTGTTGGGTGAGAAAACTCGTGACTTTCCAAAAATGAGGTGGAGGTATTTGCTACTGACTTGCTCTACCTCGCTCTTACTTTCTACGGGTCGCCAGAGCAAGACTTTTGTAGACTGGTAAAGCCTGGTGCACCGACACTTTGTATACCATTCGATACTAACAATAAGGGCACGACAACTCGACGTAGACTGTCTCTTTTTTCCTAGCTTGTCTGTGAAGCAAGATACGACCAGTTTTATCTAGCTACAATATCAGCCAATTCTGGGTAATTATCTTTTCGAACCAAAAAGGTTTGTTTCGAAGATTCATATATGATTCGAAACCTTGAAAAACGAGTAATCTGACTGCTCTTTTATTGTTGTTATTCTCTCTAGAGAAAGGAGATATGGTACGATTCTTGTCAGTAAACATGCATCCATCACTTTCTAGTCCAGATTTTTTACTCTTGCTCAACTTTTTCTTGCGACAGTGTGTATTCATTTAAACATTGTCAATTATCCAGAGTTAATTATTCATCTACTAGCTGGCTTACCCGGCTCCGCCGTATCCGGACCAAACTTGGCACACATACACTTCGGGCCCCGGCGGGTGTCACAGTCCACTTTTCGTTATCGATCGATGTCGATTTTACCGATTTTTATCGATTTTTTTGCAGAGTTCACCTACAGGGCTAGGAGTTGGCACAGGGGGGGGAAGTGAGCATGGGGATTCCGAGTAGCCTATGACACCCGCCGGGGCCCGTAGTGTATGTGTACCAAGTTTGGTCCGGATCGGTTCAGAAATGGAATTTTCTATTCGGAACATACGTACAGACAGACATACAGACAGACAGACATACATACAAACAGACATTCAGCTTTATATATAAGATTATCCCCCACTTCCCGTTGTGAATTCCGCGCCTCATGTGCTCTGCTCCTGATAAAGCAGCGTTCTCGCTTAAAATTATTGCACCTTCGTCATGCAGCAGCTATACAACGAATACACAGTGATGTGGTACGATCTGATGCACAAGCTGTGAGAATCGGAACTATGGCGTAGCTGAAAAATAAAATTGATTTGAACCACTCAAACTGGAGCCGACCTTTTTCCTTTCTCCATAAATTGCATAAGCCTTAAAGTTTCCAGACCAATAGAAAATGACCAATAGAAAATGTGTTCATACCAGGGTCAATTGTGATGCGACTGTGGCAACGGGGGGTCGTAAAGAGGGTACCTAAGGTGGGGGGGGGGGAGGGTCGTAAGAGAAGGTAGCTAGGCTAAAATACCCTAAGCTTAAAAGGGAATCAAAAAGCAGATAATTAGTTATGTTCCTTACAATAAATATATTAAAAAAACTGGAAATCAGAATAAAAAAGATAAAAAATCTGTAGAAATTCTAAAAAAAAATTTCTAAAGCTCAAAACACTTTTGAAGGATGTGTGATTTGATAAAAATGCCAAATGTACCGATCGCCCTAGAAATCTTGCGTCTGAAGTCCTCCTGAAGTCTCACACACTCGACAAAAGCGAATATCTTTACCAGCTGTGACCATCATAAATTTCTAAACCTTTTTGTAATGTTTTTCACGGGCTCATATGATTTATCTGTACTTCGGAGATCCTTCGCTACATCAGTGCAAAATTTGGTGTTATTTTGTCAACTGTGGATTTTCTAATAATTTTTGTATGGTAGCAAAAAATCAGGAAAGGGGGGGGGGGTCGTATCTGGGTCGCATCTAAATTTCTTCGGAGCTATTGAAGCTTGTTGGCTGCAATTCTGTAGTACGTGGCCATCCTCCTACTCTCTCGTAAAAACTGCAGGCTGTTTTATAACTTTTCAGGTAAGTTACAAAATTTTAAGCTCAAAAATCCCAGTTTTTGCTTTTTAGGATCGCATCTAAATTTGCGAGAGTCGCATCTACTTTTTCGAGCTTACTGCTCCTCAAAAGCTGAAACTTTTTCTATGGATAGCCTGGGCACTATACTACAGAACCTGCGCCTTGCAGCGTCTCAATCTTTTCCTGGCCTTAGTTACGAATTTTCAAACTACCGTGCTCATGCGCGTTTTTGACGTTGTTCTGGACGGCGCTCAAGCGGTGTTATTCGCGGGAAAAACTGTGAAAGAGGTAGGAAGTAAGCTTCTTAGTCGAAAACATCTTTTGTAGTTCAAGAATTCATATTTTTTTCTCCGTGAAAAATTTGCGTCGCATGCGGGAATCGAATTTGCTGGCCTGAAGTGTGCCTGAAAATTCAAAAAAACTTGCAGATTCTCAAACATTATTGAAGGTGTGTATGTGTGCTACAGATGCTGGACGCACCCATTGTTCTACTTCCGAAACCTCACTGAAGCTCTCACGTAGGTGTTTTTTGAGATTGACATTCGTTTATGCAGGTACCGCGAGGAAAGTGGGCAGGGGAGGTAAGGGGATAAATGGGGGAGTGTGTGGGGGGGGGGGGGGGAGTCGTACGGATGGGTACCTTCAAGGGGGGGGGGGTCGTAAATGAGGGTCCCGGATCGCATCAACACGCTTGACCCTGGTTCATACCCTTTTCAACACACTTTCATGGGTTATAATTAACATTGGTCATGCAATCCTACTTCCATCCCCAAACCACGCGAGTGGTTCCTTTTTACTGAATTTCCAGTTTGCATAAGCTTTTCCTTTTCACTTTTTCATTTTTTGTTGTTGTGTTATTAAACAGTTTCATCGTTGGGAAGAAGGAGGAGAGAAAAGGGATGGTAAACATAAATCTAAATGGCGCGCCGGTGGATTTTTGCCGAGTCTTGATTACTACAGTCGGTCAAGAGGCAGTGAGATAGACGCTAGTGGCCACAGCATTTTTAGCTTCAGCTCTATAGCTCATATTGCGGTGATATGCCTTATTCTGAATGCTACTTTGGTTGCGTCATTAAAAATCGCCTCTCCAGTTACACCGATTTGAACGTACTTGTTCCCCTTCTCAACAATTTTAGAAGATTGTTGTGCTTTCGTAAAATTGGAATGGTCGCGTGGACATTAACTATGTTATTCAATCACATGTTTGGATAATGTTCACGAAATTCGTTTTCACGCGAGATCCTGTCGCAAGATCACTACCATTTTTACAATGGCTGTGCTCGTTACTGATGCAAATGCTACGACATTTTTCGATAATCTTCCAGAAAGTCTGATAACTAGCACATTATTGCCTGCGCATACTCTAGCGTCTGTAACTCGAACAACTAGCGATGACTGGGAACTTCTTCAACCAAGCCTAGCAGAATTGATAGAACAACTGATACCTTCCTACCTTTTCCTTTTCATTGCGGGTCTCATATGTTCGCTACTGACTGTTGCGCTTCTGTATGTACTGATCGTATCACCTAGAATGCGAAAAGAATCAAAGGTGAGAATTTTCACACTTGTAAAACTTATGATTTATGCTCACTTCAGTTTTTGATATTCTTGGCTTTCGGAGACTTGAGCAACTGCATGGGAATCTCATTACTGGGTATATATCGGTATACGTTATTCCTTCATTGTGCGGAACTTAAACGGATTCCTAAGGAAACTTCTCTTACATGTGCTGCAAAGCCGTTTGTTTGGTTTAGGTAGACCATTTACATTATCAGTATTTGACAAACGTATTCCTTTTACAATCATTATTTTACACATTTAGGATTGTAGGCAACATATGGCCACCGTTAATGCTCGTACTCATCAGCTTTGATCGCCTTTTCATCACATGGATGCCACTTTCATACAATAGATGGTTGAAGGGAAAATACGTATATCTTGAATAGTTCTGCAATTAGAAACAGTGTGCGATTTTAGGGGAAATTGCACTTGCATATTCAGCATAGTCTTCGTATTGGTATTCTGTATTATTGGTGCTGCTCTAGCTGTCACACACCGAGAACAACCCGTAAAGTTTGACTGCGGTTTGTTGTAGACTTTTTGATTCTTCTGTCAAGGCGGCGCACTAAAGCACTTGAGTAAGAGCAGCGCCCGCAGAGAGGACACGTAATAAGGTGAAAAGCTTTATTAGATCTTGAAACAGCCGGCGGTATATGAATACGACTGAATCAGTATGCCATTCGCCGAGTCAGTTGTGGTAGTTAGGCAAACAGCAACCAGAGGTGAGTAGTTTTGGGTCGTTGTCGGCCGCGCAGCGACCCAGCCTCCCAGTCTCTCCTCGAGTTCATCACTCCAGAACACGCCCTCAATTAGATGAGTCAAGACCGTGAATGAAACAGAGCATCGCATGCCCTTACACCTCCCTTACTTTTTAAAGTCCGTCATGGACCTAATCAAAACAAAGGAAGGAATGGTTTGTTTATTAGACTATTTGACATGCACTACACTACTTGGGAATATGGTACGTGAGTTAGCAACCAAATTGCGAAGTGACGCGGCTTCTACTTTCTTCCGTTCAGCGTGCCTCACATATCCACGGACTTATGCATAAGGGCGCGGCGACCGCCAAGAAAGAAGCAGCTACAACGCCGAATTGCTCGTTCTCGGCATCGGAAGCTCAATTTATGCAAATGTTAGAACGGCAACCTTCGCAACCCCAGTCCAAAGCAACGGAGTGTGACGGATTTGTAGCAAGCACTTCAAGTGGTCCGCATTTGAAGCAATACCTAGGCAATATGGCTAATCCACGCGTACCCGGGTCTATTTAAGCTGCTCCAAGCCTCCACTTCCTCCGTACTTGAACCGAGCGGACAAGCGGTTTGAAGGCGATCGCATAATTTGAGCTCGAGCGACGTCATCTACAGGTTGCGCTATGGTTGTGTTGGTGAGCATAGCGAATGCGGGCCTTGACAAGAGATGCTTGTGGAGAAATGAGGGCCTAGATCAAGAGGACTGAGCCGCGCTCGATGCGACCGATTGATGTTGAAATGAAATGTGGAGTCTTCGGCTGGGGGCAAAGCCTTGGCTGAAAAACCAAAAGTATACGAAGATTGTCGCCAGCTGCAGCTATTGCGCGTGAGGCGCAGATGGTGAACTTTTTGCGCAGAATGCTTCCGTTATGACGCGAACGCCAAAAGGCAAAGAAACCCCTAGCTACTTCCAGCTGCGAAATTAGGTTTTTGCCCAAGTGATGGTGCCATTAGTGACTAAGGCAAACATTCGTCGAGGTATGACTAAGACAAACATTCCTTAAGGCAAAATATTAACAATAGACTGGAACGTCTGTATCGAAGTCCTTTTGTAATTAAGTATGGGAATGGGGCAATATCTGTGCAGCAAAGGTGAAACCGACCTTTGCCAACGAGCATTAGTGTACCCTGCATTATGCTACCCTTGCGGTATTGCCTCGCTAGATTTCTGAGGAAGGATTGACGATTTAGTGCAGGTACGGAATGCAACTAAACTATGAGTTCTGCATGATCGTTTTGTAGCTAACTGATGTGTTTTGATGCTAGTTGATGTAACGATTACTTCAACAGACGCACTCCGCGGGTTTACCTGGTAAAGTCATGGTGTTTAACTGTGCAAAGTGAAAGTTAGATTTTGGTGTGTAACTACGTGAATTGGCTAATATGAAGTCGAAACGGGCTTAATTGTCCTTCCTGGTATCGCAAGCCAGGATAACATTAATACTACAAGTAAAATCGGAGGAGCTAAGAGATTGCTTATTCGGGCATTCATCCAGGGATCTTTGGATTTTGATGAACTGGAACGCCGCCGTCTTCGGTCCCTAAATCTCCTCCGCACCCAATGTTGGACGTCGAGGCTCTGAAATCAAACCGCAGTCATCCGTTCAAAATATGCAGCTGCACTCTTAACTTCCAAAACTGAGACCTAGGGCGCTACCCTGGTTACACACAACTTGGATCCAACACCATTTCGGCGTGCCCTACGAAATTGGCGGCACTAAAAAGGACCATGTACTTTGCGCGATACCACGCCGAGCAAAGGCTAGCTAGCATACAATAAATTCAAAGACTAGGCGAACACAATGGGGACTGAATTGGAGCGCTATCGGTTCACAAAATGGCAGTTTTGTAATCGGCAATTAGTTGTGGAGTTGTGTTCGAAGCTCATCTGGGTAGCCGTCCATCCACGTCGGTATTCCAACTCGCTGCTACCAGTAGGAGCAGCGCCCGCAGAGACGACACGTAGGGTGGAAAGCTTCATTAGATATTGAAACAGCCGGCGGTTTAAGAATACGACTGTATCAGTATGCCATTAGCGGAGTCAGGTGTCGTAGTTGACGGGGCAAACAGCAACCAGAGATGAGGAGTTCCGGGTCGTTGGCAGTCGCGCAGCTACCCAGCTTCCCATTCTCTCCTCGAGACTCACTCCAAAACACACACTCAATTAGATGAGTCAAGACCGTGAAAGAAACGGAGCATCGCATGCCATTACTGCGATGAGGGAAGCGCTTCATTTGAATGGGTTTGCAGCACTGTCAATCAGGCTTCATCCTAACCTTTTCTTGGTAAAAAAATACACACACGTAAAACTTCACACAAAGGCCAAAAGAACCATCAAACAGGAGTTTGCATAGTTAAAAGTTACACTCGAATGCTAGCTACTGACTATAGTTATTAATTATTTGTTGTGAAAAATCATAATTCCAAATCTGATGCTGAGCGAAAAATAGCGTGCTTTTTCAATAAAGAAGGCAGCGTCTCGACGTGTCCCTACCACGTTGAGATGATGGCACCTCGCTGGAGGATCTGTGAGTTTAGGTAGTGCGGCAATATCACAAAATATATAGTCGATTCGTTGACCGCACGGACTGGACAACACTGCAGAGCACGCGCCGCGAGGTAAAACAATTACCCCAGTACAAAAAGGCCATTGTACAAACACGCTCTCGCAACATTTCAATCGGGCCGCGCGTCTTGTGTGTTTGAGCAGTCCTTGTGGTCAATCGCTACATCGAAGAATTCGAATAGGCCATTTTTCACTTCCCAGCGAAAAATTATTATTTTTGCAGTTATATTAGTTTCCCTTGTATGAACCGATGATATGTACAACAGAAAAATCTGGCATCATCGCAAAAACATGAAGAGCATCGTTTCTTTTGTCATTCTCTCTAGATCTCGTTTGCAGCGATCTCGCATATCCCTTGTCTGTGTTGACATGCCGACTACGGCACCGCTTTTTTTGTTTCTGCTATTTTTGCCGCGAAAGGCAGTGAGCCTCCATCTTATTAAGTTAGCATGAAGCGCTTGAAGGCAGTGTCCCGGCAAAAGGATGGGTGCCGGGTTTTTGTGGCGATGTTGAAGTAGACTCACTACCTAAGCGACGACTGAAGTTTGGAGCGAAAAAGGGGTCTACCAAGCCTAAAAATTCGCTTCGAAAGAGGCCGCCCGAATTTACAATAGGCCCGAATGCCGCCCTCGCAGCGATTTCGAACTGCAAGGCCAGAGCACGCATAGCGCACACAGCCATGAGCGAGGGTCCCGCAACGACTCTGCGTCTCTGCCTTGCATGCATCTCCTACTCGCCCGAGCCTACCGTAAGATTCGGGCCACTTTCGGAGCAAATTTCAGGCTTGGTAGACCCCTTTTTCGCTCCGAACTTCTTTCATCGCTTAGGTAGGGGATCTACTTCAACATCGTCACAAAAACCCGGCACCCATCTTTTGCCGGGACGCTGCCTTTAAAGTCGACGCTTGTAGTTTCGAGCGCGCGCGATGAAACCGTTTTAAAATGTCAAAACTTTATATAAATAGTGGTTAAGATTATATGAGGTTATCAGAATCAACGATTATACCGCGAGCTGCCGGCCGGAGTTGATAACTTTCCATGATGTGCGCCAGCTTGCTGGGCCAGTAGTAATCCCCCCAAAGTCGTCACAACTCAATGAAGACGCGGTCATGACCGCCCAAAAGGCGTCACGACTTCGACACGACGGACGCTGGCCGTCAGCCGCAAAAAACACCACGCCCTGGCGTCTATGATGCCACCGGGTAGGATAAATTACCATCGGCCCAGAGATACATGAAGAACAATGAAAAGCGTAGTCATTAAAAATCAATTTTTTCTAATAAAGAAATCACTTTTGGGACCGTATGCACGAACAATCCTCGCGGGAAGGGGAGCGGATCTGAGAGAGAACGCGTCATATTTCGCTACTCTGGATATCTTACTTCTTCCTGCTTTAGCTGTGGAAGGTTCTCATACCCTGATACCTGCGCATAATGATTGCCAGGTTTGTGCTGAGGATTAAAATAGCACTGCTAAGCATATTTATAGTAGAAATGAGTGAAATGCCTGGATATCGAAATCTTCGATGAACCACTGCTCGCGATCTAGGAATTAGCGAAAAAGATTTCACTTCTTCTGTAGAGAACATGCTTAGCAGTGCCGTAGTATATCCTCAGCACAATTTTGCAGCTTTTCATTAAGTTTTCAAGAAGAAGATTGTTTTGAAAATGGGAGGAGGTGATCGCTTACAGATCTCCAAGGGATCACCCAAAATAGTAAAATCTATTCTTGTATGACACTACGCTGGCAATCATTATGCGAGTGTATCAGGGTATGAACACCTTCATAAGCCATATAGAGAAACCAGAAGAAAGATCTCTAGAGTACCGAAATATGCCGCATCCCCTCTCAGATCCCCTCCCCTCCCCGCGGGGATGTACGTGCATACGTGCCTTGATCCCCATTTCCACCAGCGGCTAACTTTGTACAGCAGGGCGAATATTGTACTTTAGGTAGGAAAGCTGCTTATTCAGTAACCTTTGCGACGGTTATCTATTATTTCGAAACATTGGGCTACGGAGCCGCTTTCCTCATCAACGTCGTCGCCTACATAAAGGCTAGAAGCATTGTCACGTCAGTGTAAGTTCCAATTTAACCTACAAAACATCTAATAATTACTTTGGGAAAAAATGTTACTTTTGTAGCACAGCAACAAAGAGAACTTTCAAAAGTGCACAGAGAGCACTGTTTGTTAGAGCAAAAAGGCACTACAGTATATTATTAACTTATTCAAAAAGGTTCCCATTTTTTGACCGAGAGTAAATTTGCAGAATGAAGGCCAAGGAAAGGTGGGAAGCTCTTAGGCCAATATGCATTAACATCCTGCGGCGAAGGAGCGACGTCCTCGATGACAAAGAAGCTGCAGCAGCGTTCACCTGCGGTTGCTTCATAAAGGGGTACGCCGCTCCCCTCGCCGCAGGGATGTTAATGCATACGGGACTTGGCTCAATTTTTCTGAGCCACTGTCTTAAATCATTTAGCATGTGCATTTATGTGCTTATTATTGTGGTTCACTATACGATCGCCTTGGAAGCATTACAATATTTTTTTAGATAGAGACGCAGTTCTAGATTATAAATTCTTCTTAATTTTCAAACTGCTCGTAAGCTCAAATCGTGCGTATCTTTGACGTCTTCCAAAACTTGTTTTACTCTTTTGATGAATACCCCAGCCGAAGTTTTTAGCTTCTGCCCCGCAAAGCTAGCCTGATTAGCATAAGAAAGACAATGATTTTTTTACGGAATTTGTTTGTTATTCAAGGGAGTGATACAGCAGCATCTAGGGTGGTACGAGAACAGCTAAGACGTACTCGTGTATACTTAGCTGTCAATATCCTATCAGTTCTGCTCGTTATCGCACCAAATTTCAAGTCACTCTCCATCCGTATGCTGCGTTACGTAAGTGTTTTCGAGTGTTTTTTCCTAGCTTAATGATACAGTCATGTCTGTTTCAGATTGGCATGAGCGAAAATTTGTTCCTTATGATAAACCTCGCAAGCTTGATCAACTCTTCGTTCAACATCTTCATCTATATAGCCTTATATCAGAGTTTTCGCACAGAAATCGTTTATGCGCTAGGAAGTGAGTACGGTCAGCGCTAATCATTATGGCTTTGCTGGCTGTCACTGCTTTGTGCTTTTGATTACTTTCATCCCATAGGACTTTTGATTTTGAAACCTGCCAAGGTATTACTGCATGTACATACAAGAGATAGTGCGAGTCTCGGCACGAGGAGGCTCCAGCAATTTTCAAGAAACGAAGTCCCCTTTACTTTGCACCATTATTACGGTATGCCTGCCTGGTGGGGTGCTTGTGAAGAAATGTTCTTTGGCGGCGTGATGGGTTCGGCGCTCACCACCGCACGCTCAAAGCAGCATTACTGCCACCATTCAGAATTTTCGGGGGACGGGGACTGGGGCTATGCGAAGAAAAAGGGGTTTGAAGCGGATCAAGAATGATTTACAAGGTTTAGGATGTAATATCTGCTGCATGACGAAGGCCTTTGCCCAAATAGGTTGAAGGCTGTTGCGCACGCGGCGCACGGGCAATTGTCAGCCACGGGGCGCGCGCACGCTCCAGTGGATGACCGCTGACCGAGCGTGCGCGCGCCCGGTGGTTGACAATTGCCCGCGCGCCGCGTGCGCGACAGCCTTCAACCTATTTGGGCAACCGCCTTCGTCATGCAGCAGATATTAGACTGATAGAATATAAGAGTGATCATAAATTCATATGAGGAAGGCAAAATATACGCGTTTGTGTTCACTGAGCCACCTAAGGTGGTTCAGTGGAGAAAAAAAGATAAAAATGTTACACCTCTTTTTCATCTACACAGGTCACTCTTCGTTACTGTGGGATTACGGTATAAACTTTGGAGAGGGTTTTGAGCCATTAATGACTATATTTTGCCCCAGAATGCGTACACAACAAGCTAAAAACCAGATCGGGCACAGGTACGATCTCCGCCCCTGGTCAACCAAGCTCTCTACCCTACGTGGCCGGTAAATTGGTAACAGAGTAATCTGGAAGGATAAAAACCCCGACGTGGTAAACGGCTGGCCCCGCAAGTCACTGTGATAGGCTCGCACGCATACAATTGCCTCTTCGACCACGAAGTAGTGTGCGTTCGGCGCATGCCGAGGGTATTAAAGATGCCGAATTCTTTATGCTTCACGTTAGTAAAACTGCATAACGCTTTTTCAGTGTTTCTCGAAAATGTGATCAAATCAAACGCTTCGAAGATCGTGCAAACTGTCCAAGAGAACAGTTTATTCAACAGTTCCGAAAACTAATACGTTTTTTGATCGCATGCTCACTTGCCTACTTGTGTCGTCTCTCAGCCGGAAGGCCTAAAGTTATGGAACTGATATCGATAGATAACGAAAAAAAACCTACGGCTCGGCCCCACTCCGAATTGTATGCGTGCAAAACGAATTTTTAGTGATAACATACATATAGACGTGCACATATAAAGACAAAGTCATATTCAGTTTTCATACACCGTGTCCCAAATTGTGCAATAGGGTTGCTGGGGTTACTGAGCGGATTTGAGCCCATATAGGGTTACACAAAGTCGGGAAGGCTTGTATCTTACAAAAAAAATCCAACCCAAATTGCTCACTGCCTTCAAGCAAAAGCAAAACAGGCAATGGCCACGAGACAAATCCTTTTTCATATCCGTTGCCAACGACGGAAGAACAAGTAACTACTCGTCGGTTTGCAAGTCACAATATTCTTATGCTTGAGCTTACTTTAAGACAGGATTTTTGCGACTGTATGATTAAGGCGCCAGCTACGCGATGGCTACAAAATGTCGAAGAGGGAATCGACTGGCCTGTAACACATGAGGGGTGGTATTTGTCAAGTCCCATATAGGAAGGGGTTCCTGTACAGGTAACAGCCCGTACAGGCGCGGGCACTGGCGCCCGTGATATTTGAAGTCATACTGGTGATCGGGCTCTTGTCTATTGGAGAATATGGTCCGTGGCAAATTTGTCCATGTCGGGCACGACAGCCGGGCAGGGAGCCCGTCCTGTCAAGATCGGACTTCGCTTCCCAACTGCCGCGACATGGCCAAATTTGCCAGATCGAACCACACTCTAAATATTGATAAACGGGATTGGCGCTCTCGCCTGTCCGGGCACCCTCAATAATGGCCAGAGCAACGAGTGGGAGATTGATAAATACCGCCCCAGATAGTTTCGGTGCTTATATCGATTACGAGTATGTTTTGGAGCTAAGAGTGTCTATACATTTTCAAACATTCTATTGTTGTTGACAAGCGTTCTCGGCAGAATAAGACTCTTGTAGAACAACGTCACAGAGTAGAAGCCCCCGTAATGGAACCTATAGGCCACTTCGATCTCTCACTACCGCTTACTCCCGAAAATTCAAGCGAAAGGCAACACTTTGTTGGTTTGGCGCCAGTGTCGCACCCAACTTTGATGATTTCTGTATCATCCAATAAAACCACTCTCTGTGCCGCATAATTTCCACAGGCTGAAATCTGGGACGCATAATATAGGAGAATGAGCGGTATAGCGCGCTAGGATTCCTAACGGCGGCACTCCTTTCAAGCACCATACAGTAGATATCATACTTTATATTTTTTTGCGTCCATGAGTGTCGACTGCGTTGTATTGTTTCGCTTTCTTTTTCCTAGCCGGGATTCTTAAACATCTCATCTTACATTTTAAAGACATTTAGTGTGTGCCAAGTCTCTGAAGTAAGCGAGATCCAATTTTCGCCGAATGTGGTGCTCTGCTAACAAGCTAATGAAATGTCTCATTGCTCCTTTGTTATAATTTTCATACAAGTCGTAAGGTACCTACATCACGGCAATTTTTACAACTCCTTGCAAAGAGATATTAGTCTTGGACTGGCAGGAAGTTCTCGCTTGCAAAAATTCACAAAGCATCAATACTCCACTACTACTTTTTCCTTACTTTGGATGAATACAATCAAATAATATATCTGAAGATATTTCAGTGCAAACGTTCTTTGGAAAACGACAAGGTTCTGCCAGATCTCCTGTCTTCACTAGACGCACTACAAAGAGATTTACAGAGCTTAATCAGTGATCATTATTGCTGTGTACGATTACTTTCAACTATTGTCATGCCATTTCTGATTAGTGTCGTACGAGATTTGTTGTTCTTGTCACGCCTTGATCTTTGACATAACAATTCCTGCAGGATCTTTGTCAAAAGCACATATGAGAGCTTGAATGAAGACACTTTGGTTATGTGTACAGTCGAGTCGATTTAGCGGTAAATATAGTGTGCTTGCACAGAAGGTGAAATGCGGTAAAATTTGCACGTGAAGAAATAGCTTCGACTGTGACGCCAATTGCGCGCGCAAGGTACCCGCAGTACTGGCATGGCTACTTGTTCACGCGCAAATTTCACCGCATTTCACCTTCTGTGCAAGCACACCATATTTACCGCTAAATCTACTCGACTGTAACTACTCCAGAACTATTATAGTATGCCAATAATATGCTATAAACCTTCACGGCGAATTCTCACCGTTTTTCTCGCCTACATGTGCTAACCCGAAATGCATTAGAAGAACAGAATGAGGGAGCTATAATACCACCCGTGATTTGTGAAAAAAAATGGCGGCGGCACTTAACTCACGCGGCGCCGCCGCAGTTAGGTGACAAACGCCGCGTCGCGCGACAAAAGTCGGCGGAAAAGCGGCATTTGCCGCTTAACTTTGCCGCGCAACGCCTAACTTTTTTATGAAAAAGACCTTAGCTTGATCCAAAATTTATGAATTTTATATATAAAAGTACCATTCAACTCAGCCCGGCGAGGCGCATCTTCCAGTATACAAATGTGCCTAGTTGTGGGATATAAGTTTTTTCCTGGAATGTTAGTGTAAATGGAACATTCAGTGTGCTGACCAAAGGCTACATACACATTCTGTTGGGCACTGCAGAAATAGGGCAGGTATAGTTTAAGAGCTCATTCTGCATGGATATGTGTGAAACTGGGCTTTTCTCGGCGAAGTATGACGGGTCCCAAAATGCAGGAAGACAAAGGGAAATGGTTGAAAATCGCATGAGAAGCACATATCGCGGAATGCCGCGCGAGCAGCATTGTGTTCAGCTCCTCAAGGCGAATCTTTTGACATACGTCATGTCATCTATATCTTGTTTCCAGTTTTCTTAAATTGTTCTGAGGAGGTCCCTTTGCAAGTATGTAACGCAGCGCCTATCCAACATGAAAGCTTCCAGTAAGCAATATTCGATAATGCTCTTCTTGTACATTATAGTGCGCTAGAAGCTGCCGCATGCTTGAATTTTGGTCAAAATGTTCATGCTCTTAAATTGTAAGGAAACTTCGCTTATAGAGGTTTTCGAACACTGTCTTTACGAAAATCAAGGTCTTTGAGGATTACAGGGGTCTTTTTGGTGAGATACGGTGAGGTGACTGTAACTGCATCAAGAAAGTGCGTAAATTTGCCCGCATTTCTCGCGTATCTGTCAGCAACCTTGCCTGCGCTTTTCTCAGTCAAAGTTACTAAAAACTGTGCTACCGAATGGTGCAAGACTCAGGCTCCATTCTATAAAAATCGCCGAGTTACGAGCCTATGAAAACACGTACTCATGAATTTTGCCCAAAATGTAAAGGTCGCATATTTCGTCGAAGATCCACCGTGAGCGCTTTCTAGCTTTCGGCAGCTTTCTAGCGCACTATAATGTACAAGAAGAGCATCATCGAATATTGCTTACTGGAAGCTTTCATGTTGGATAGGCGCTGCGTTACATACTTGCAAAGGGACCTCCTCAGAACAATTTAAGAAAACTGGAAACAAGATATAGATGACATGACGTATGTCAAAAGATTCGCCTTGAGGAGCTGAACACAATGCTGCTTTCGGGTTTAGAATGTATTCATTCCGAAGGAAGTTATGGCGCTGCATAATTTGCGATATTCCGGAATCGCGAAATTTCTGGAATTTTGCGAAATTCCCGTTCTGTGAGTGGTATTGTACATTGCACAGCACGCGCGGCATTCCGCGATATGTGCTCCTCATGCGATTTCCAACAATTTCCCTTTGTCTTCCTGGGGACCCGTCATACTTCGCCGAGAAAAGCCCAGTTTCACACATATCCATGCAGAATGAGCTCTTAAACTATACCTGCCCTATTTCTGCAGTGCCCAACAGAATGTGTATGTAGCCTCTGGTCAGCACACTGAATGTTCCATTTACACTAAAATTCCAGGAAAAAACTTATATCCCACAACTAGGCACATCTGTATACTGGAAGATGCGCCTCGCCGAGCTGAGCTGAATGGTACTCTTATATATAAAATTCATAAATTTTGGATCAAGCTAAGGTCTTTTTTATAAAAAAAAGTTAGGCGTTGCGCGGCAAAGTTAAGCAGCAAAGCCGCTTTTCCGCCGACTTTTGTCGCGCGACGCGGCGTTTGTCACCTAACTGCGGGGGCGCCGCGTGAGTTAAGTGCCGCCGCTATTTTTTTTTTCACAAATTACGGGTGGTATTGTATACCATCACCTGACATGAGCATTCCAGAATCCGCACCGAATATCCCTCACTGAATTTCCTCATGCTTTCCCTTGGTCGATATATGAGCAAGGACTTTACTTTCGCACAGTACTAGTTATGGAATCTCTAAATGACAAGTGCATCCCTCAGAAAGTGGCATCATTCCTGTTAAATCACTCGTTGTTGAAAAAAATGCAAAAATCGTAATCAAAGAGAACTCTCTCAAGTTAGGTATTGATAAAAAAGATGAATACGTAAAAGCGCGCAATAATTCACGCTCTCCCTCGTCGTGAAGCTTAGTGCATTTGCGCTCTTTCCTCGAAAGTGTGATTCTTGGGAATAACTTGATTTCTGACAGACTTCTCAGCAACCTCATAGTACAAACTTAATCGAATGTAAACTTGACCGCGTTTCCTGGATAGCTTAACAACCTCGTTCAAATGTGATGTCGCAACAATACGTACCTGTTGGAGCCTACGAAAGAGAGGTAATGTCTGATGGCGTTATCGTCTATTTGATACTGACCATCATGGGTATCTGCTGCTTCTTCATCAATGTTCCTCTACTTTACATACTGCTGAAATTGCCTCGATGTCGAACTGATTCTAAGGTAATACAATTTTGTTTTGTAATTGACATATATTATTAGCACCAACAGATAAGATGTGTTTCCTTCTGCATAAACTGTAAGAACTTTGTATGATGTATACTCCTACGTCGGAATATAAGTTTAACACGCTCTCATTTTGACAACACTGACTGGGATGCAAAAGTTACGCCCAAGTCCTGGAGTTAAACTTCGTTCACCATAACTCTTTCCAGAGATAAACGAGGCTGCAACTGGCTACAATTAGCAAATTTGTTTTAGTAATTATAATAGTATTGCAAGTCAGCAACAGCGACAAAGATATTCCATTGAAGGTTGTCAAAAAAATTTTTTGAAAGCCTCTACATATTTTGAAACATAACTGATCTGAGCTATAGTAAGATAGCAGAAACTATGCTAATTGTGTGCCTAGCGGCTGGCTACACGGTGATGGAAACCTGGAATTCAGCATTTTTCGCAGAAATTTTTTGCAAGCAGATTCGTGATAAACAGTTCGCACTTTCTAAATTGGCAAGAGGACGCATTCTTCAAATTTTTATACTTTCACCGCTAATTGAGAAAATTCTTTCTCATAATTGCCCTAAGCTCTCATGCCGCGTAGTGTAGTCCCATAATCGCATTGTGCTTATGACTTTTATGCGACTCATAAGAACTACAGCGATCTATGGTGCCGATAAGCATTTGTAGCATATATCACTGGCAAACGTTATACTTTCAAAACCCCGTCTTCTGCCCGTGGACTTCATAGAATTTGAAAGACGAGAAAATCTCACGTCTGCTTATGTCACTTCAAGGTACGAGATCATGATATAAACAAACTCTATGGAGACGAAAACGTACCCAAAATTCTTACGGATCACTCCATTTTTTGACTTAGATAAGGCACTTCAGATAATTCCGCCTCACAGATAACTCCGTTTTCTTTCCATTATAACTGCCTGAATTCTTGTATAAGTCCTGAGACGGACTTATCTGATGGGAGTGTCTGTGAGATTACAGGTCAAAAACTGAAAATGGCTTTCATTTTGGGAAAAAGGGGTATCGTAAAATATGGCGTTTCAGCGAACACAGATCTCAGACGAACACAAGCTCCAGAAACAAGTGGATAGATTGATTCATGCTCTATGTGTCTTCCACAGAAATGGTAATATGTGCGAGGTCGAAATAAACAAATGTATCGTTTACAGCGCAGGGACAAGCATATGACGCCAAATTTGTGCTATGTAAACAGGGTGTCCCAAAAAGATGTGCACACTGTTTGATCGTCATCTCTCTTGCTTCCATGTTTCTTGCCGAACCTGAGATACCATTTTGTAGAGCGAGATTCAGCTCAGATTTGCAGTATGGGGCAAACCACCAATCTCTCTTCATTACTGTAGGATTACGGTATGAACTTTCAACACACAGCACCAGTGGAATGGGCTTTTTGATAAAATATTCCAAAAAAGCTGGAAGTTTGTGTAGCAAGGTTTTTAGGCGTGCTGATTTCACTACACGATTTCTTAACTGTTTTCGAGCTTTTTTAATGGTGTAATCACATGTTGACGAACATGTGAAAAACAGTTGTTACCCTAGACCTGAAATGACTTACGAAAAAATCATTACAATAAAGTGCAAGTTTTATATTTGAATTCGGCGACTTCGGTGAGCCCAGCAAAGAGTTTCTGGCTCGTTCGATTTTCTTTCTGAAAAAATGTCGCCAATGGCCGAAAGTCCTTTTCGAAGTTGCTATCGTAATCCTACAGTAACGAAGAAAGATCGGAGATCCTTCCTATGCTGTAAATCTAAGCTGCAAGTCGCTCTAGAATGAATGTTACCTCAAGCTCGGGGAAAGACATTCAAGCAGGAGAGTTACTGACGATTAAACAGTGTACGCTATCTCTTCCCAGACTAGTCCTTTTGGAGTCCACCAAAATTGACAATGCGTGTGGAGCATATGTCTAAGTTCACATAGAATTTGTCCTCTATAATGGACAACTTCCCTGTAAACTGTTATTGAGCGAAAACCGAATTATACGTTGCACTTCTTTTTGAAATGAACAAGAACCACATAGCTATGATAGATGCTGCACTCCAATCTATAATACAGTCATTGTAGATGCCGCTTACTTAGAGTGATTTGCAAATCAGATTTTGTCTTTCTCTTTCTCCTTTCCTACTTTCTATTCCCACATGCATTCTACCTATTTATGTCTGCTTATTTTGCTGATTTGTTTCGACCCACATCGTAAGCAAGCCAAAAGTTTATCCGAGAAACAGGCATTAACTATGAGATAACCTAAGATCATGTGTACTTACTCGACCTAGTAACTGAGGATTTCTGCTTCTGGGCGCAAATGATTGATTGTTTATGCTTCTCATCATACCAGAAACCAAGGTAGGACAACTCGAGATGTAGAAATCAACAGTCTTGACAGACAGCAAAGCTATGCATATTTTTGTGCAATAATTTAACATTTTAGCTGATCATATGTTTGGTATGTGGAGATATGTTCAATTGTTTGGCAATTACTGTGATGAGCTACACCAGGCGTGATTTGTACAAGGAAGGTTTGAGAACTGGCCTGCTGGCGATACAGACTCAAGAGACATGTGCTAAACAGCCTTCTATGTGGTTAAGGTATGTTATAGCTCACCTTGTACAAGAAAAAATGAATTGTTACACATGCATTTCTCTAATACAGCAGACACTGTTATTATTTTCACTGGAGTTATCCTTTCAATTTGAATTCGTCGTGAAATGGCAAGTGCATAAAGGGAGTGTCCAGGCAGAATGGAGGTTTTGGGATTCCAGTTCCATGCGAAAATGGCCCCCCTCGGACACAATACCATGCAAGTGCGAGGTAATACCGCTCGACCTAAAGCGAGAATACGACCGGAAAGTGGGGAAACTGACGCCTTGGGGTGGGGTCCTCCGGCCTGTTTGAGTCCCTGCTATGCGGCAGAGTACGCATGCCGCCGCAAAATCATAGGGTTCCGCAAAGACCCTGCGTCTAAGCCTGGCGGGAACCGTCGAATTTCAAATTGTAAGGCTTTGGAAAACGCATGTTCTCGCCGTGTTCGCGTCTTCTGTGGATTTTCGGATTCAGCGTTGCGGATGACCCCCGGTAAGAGGATTTTTTAGAACTCGAGTTTTTGCCCGAATACTGCCTTTAAAGAGATCCACCTGCTCAGACAATCGCCGTGGGCAGGCGGGCACCGGAAAAATAGATGGCTGGTTTTTCTCAGCAAGCTCGCGAATTTTTTGTAAAGCAATCACGACTTTTTGGAACGCCGCTTGCTGGGTTCTCGATTCCACAGAGATTCAGCAATATATCTGCAAAAGATAAGAGCGAAACAAGATTTAACAGGCGGTCTCTCAAAAACCCGCTGACCATTTTCCTGAAATTTGCGAGGGGAATGTGAAAAGTCAGCAACGCGTAATCCGGCGCCCGCCTGCCCCCGGTGATTGTCTGGGTATGTATACGCTGCCTCAACATCACAGCACCAGGGACCGAGTCCATTCGCGGCCGCTTGTTGTGGCCCTGCTCCGCGTTCGAGGACGTGTTCTATCGGTGTTTCCTATGCCATAGAAGCTATTGAGGGCTGGCGAGCGTGAGAAATTACTTAACACGTTCGGACCGGTGCTGCACATGGTGCAGCACGCGCCTTTCAAGGATCTTTTCAAAGTTTGCAGGAGGTTTTCTTTTTGTCCAAGGTTATCATATCAAAGGCCTGAGCTCCTTCTTTTCAAATGACTCTGTAGAGCTGTGCCGACGGTATTCGTTTAGAAGATATGAGGACAAATCGAACAACAATTGCAATGAAGTGCGGCAACGCGAACCTCGCTGCGATGTCGCAACTTTTCTTTGCTCCTATTTCAAAGTGAAAACCGTGGTTCCAGTAATGATGTGTACTGCATACAACATAGACACTTTTGGATAGAATTAGAAACTGAGCTCTTGTTCCTATCCTTCAGGAAAGCACACAAGTCCTTCTCAGGCGGCAAAATTCAAACACTTCGAGTTCACTCAGAACTTTGGGTATGGATCTTATCTGACGTGCTGATTACAGATGTAGCACATAGTCTACGATTTGAGGGCAATGTCCGGGCAAAAACTCGATCTCGAGTCTTTGCTTACACGGGCCTATTCGCTGCGCTGAGCACATTGGAGAGCGCGAAAACGGCGAAAAACGGCTCTAACACGGGAGGGAAATCAGCAGGTGGGCGGGGTCCTCCCCACTGTGAATTCACGCTCCCAGCCTCCAGAGCGATCTTCTCGGTTCCGATTTCAAGTCATGCATTCGCACCTGGCCGGTGGATATCAGGGCGCTAGAGGAGTTGGGGATCGCTCCAGAAGCTGGGACTGCGAAATTCACAGTGGGAAGGACTCCGCCCACTTCCGATTTCCCTCTTGCGTTAGAGTCCTTTTTTGCCGTTTTCGCGCTTTCCAATGTGGATTTTCGGGTTCAGCATAGTGAATAGGCCCGGATAAGCATAAAATCTCAAGATCGACTTTTTGCCCGGACACTGCCTTCAAGGCCCCTTTATTGGCTAATTGCTGAAAGTACCCTCTTTTTCGCCGCGCGCGATTTCGCGGTCCGAAACGTGTTAAAAGACAGAATTCGGCAGCGTTGGTTCCAAGCCGTTTCGAAAACGAAGTTCTCCATGACTTCACACGGTTAATGCGAAGTCTCCTCCAATTTTTGGAAAATGAAAAAAGAATGGAATGTTGGCAACAAAATTTTCTCAAAAATGTTTTCCAAAACAAGAACAAATCAATACATTTGAACAACTATAGAAATAAACAAACAAAAGAATAATATATCATTGTCAAGGAGGAACAAAAAATCATTTGCAGTATCGTACACAGAAGGAGGTGAAACATAAATAAACTCTGTTAAATAGATTCAAGATTCGATTTGTATACCAATGCTAAGACAACATCCCTATTAATATGAATATACACAAATAGAATAATAATAATAGGTAGTAATGTTTTTAATTATAATATTACAATTTGAGAACTCCGTTTCGTTCCTATCCATAAACGAAGTATTGCGTTGTTTCTATGCCCCCGGAACTCTTCATTAAGGAAGAATGGCGAAATTTTGATTTGTTTCAATTAGGTTAACCCCAAGTGCTCAGTGAAAAAGACGATTTTTATCAATATTTTGAAATTTAATGGCTTATCTGGGTCCGTTTCATCGTCAAATATTTTCTTTTGTCATCAGCTGATCCGAAATCATATGTTCCCTAACAAGGTAGTGGTCAGAAATCGAAGTGGCCAATTCAAGCAAGCTGTATATCATTAGCAGCATAAAATGCTGACTCTAAAACTTCTTCCTTATCTGCAGAACATTTTTTTATAGTTTTGTTATGGATGAAGTTATAGGCCTTTGAAGGTCATTATTTTGCAAAGAAGTCGTGGGTGTAAAAGTCAAACTTAGTTGTACAGAGCCATTGTCGGCTCAGTACTGGACCAAACGTGCATCTAGGTCAATTTATATGGCCCGTACCTAAAGGTGAGCTTTTAGGGCAATAATATGCCTAATTTTGCAGTTTTTATGTACAATTTTTCGCAGTGAAGCTGCTCATAATTTCGCCTACAAAGGCGTTCTGCAGATATGGAAGACACATTTGAAATCAGTGTTCTTCGCTGCATCGAAAGGTATGCAGCAAGGTTGGATTGGCCACTTCGACTTCTGACCATTCCCTTGTAAGTGGGTTACTTGGTTAATTCGAAACGACTGTGTGATCTTTCACATTTATTGAATTCGAACTTTATCACACAGTGAATTACAGATTGATAGGAAATATTTGGCCTCCCACGATCCAGCTGATTATGGGAATTGAAAGGACATTGGCATGTTGGTCTCCAGTGTTTTATTCTGCTCACATTCGCAAAAGGTACAGGGCACTTGCCGTTGTTGACAAGTATTATAGAAGTAATTCAAATGAGCTCAAGTACTCTCTAATCGTATTCATATTGCATTCTTAAAGGTCTATTTGGGGGTGCTTCATTAGTATCTTAATTGTCATGGCATTTTGTGGCACTGCAGCAATTACAGCATTCATCTTTCCTCGTAGTGATTCAGTAAAATTTGACTGCGGTAAGTACAAACTTTGTTTTTGTTCTTCGGGTGGGTTGTATAGTGTGGACCCCGGCCAGCTTCCCATAGGTACCGCCGCGGCGCATACGCAACGCGCGCTCGGCTTTACGCTTCTCGTTTCACCTATCGATAAAAGCATTTCTACTTGAGGTAGGATCGAAATAAGCAGTGGAAGCCACTAATCACAACTTAAGAAAGACCTAAGCAAAAGGAGAGCGCTCGCAACTCTCACTAGCGCCCAGATATCAGTCAGTCTCATGATTGGTAATATGAAGATACCGGTGATTGAAATTCGCAGAAGAAGAAAAAGCAGAGGATCATTTTCGAGATTTCGAGGGTTTCCTTCTGTGGTCATAAAAATTAAACCAGTTAGAGATCACATCGTACAAGCACAGCCCTATTGACGCATTACAAAAGAACTAGAAGCAGTTATACAAATCAACAGGATAGGCACGTTTACTCTGTAATCAAAACCTTTGGGAAAGTATTTCACTACAACATGCTAGAGCCTTCGCTATTGAGAAAAGAACGTGGAATTTGTGAAACAAAGGCTCTCAAGCCTGTTGAGGCTCGTAAAAACCCATTTTCGCAGTTGTTGTGAGTTGCCTTTACCTAAAATAGAGCGCTCATAAACATAACAACGTCAATTTAAAGAGAAAAGCATAAAAATTTTCATTAGAAGCAGAAGAGAAAGCGCACTAAAGGCATGCGCTGCGGGCGCGTCGCGGAGGTACCTATGAGAAGCTGGCCGGGGTCCACACTATACCAATGGTAGGGACCTTTTTCGAGAATTGTTCTCACAAGGGAGGGATACTTGGTCGAAGTGGGGTTTCCACATAAAATGTACACAGTCTTGTAGAGCATGGAACGCTGGTTCCAAATCTGCTTTCCTTATCTGCAAAGCGCTTCTGTGAAGGACGTTATGGGAATTTTTATTGGTAAAAATTTAATGGTTTGACTAAGTAAAAAAGATGCTGAGATCTTTGCGGTGCTTGAAAGGAGTAATGACTAACAAGAGCTATCGGATTGAAGGTAGTATTGCATAAATCGCTCTGGTAGATCATAGCCCTATTCGAGCTCATAGACTGCACTTTGAATGACTTTGTGGTAGCCGCGCGCTCGAATTTTTGCTCTAAGAAATTCCGTAACTTCTCTCCCAGAAGCGCTTTGCCGATGTGGAAAGCAGGTTCGGGATCAGCGTCTAAGCTCTATAAGACAGTATACATTTCATAATGAAACGCCACTTCGACCAAGTATCCTTCCCTTGTCAGACAACTGACTGGAATAATCGTTGGTTTTCCAAAAAAGAACTTCGCGCAGCTCTTTGTAAAATATGCTGCGGAAGTTCCCACTCTGCCCACTTAAACTTCTGTGATAGAGATAACATCCTGTGAAACCGCTGCAAATCTTTCCTATCCTGCGGAAGTCTCCGTGAGTTGTCTGAGTTAGGGCATATTTACCTCAAAACTCATGCCCATATCCAGCGTGTCTACGTGACTCAACTAGACTCAAGGCTCAGCACAGATGTACTGAAGTCAAACTAGACTTCGTTTGCGGGGCAAACAGCGAAAAAGGTATCGTGAAACATGTTGAACATAGATACCAGTGGCGTACCCAGGATTTCCGCTCGGGGGGGGGGGCGCGACAAAAATTTTTTTCGAATGAAGGTGCGTGGCCTTAGCCACGCACTCCGAAAAATTTTTAGGGGTGCTTTTCAAAATTTTTGCGGGTCTCCAACCCTAAAATCCGGAAAAAGGGGGCGTGGCGTCAGCCACGCCCCCGAAAAAAAATTTTTTTACAAGGCTAATTTGAATTTTTAAAAATTTTTTAAAATTATTTTAATTATTTACAAGTATAAACAAGTCATTTGCACATTTTTATAACCCTTATAAGCAACTTTCAAAAATTTCGCGACCCATTCTCGGGGGGGGGGGGCGCGCGCCCCCCCCCCCCCGCCCCCCCTCTCGGTACGCCACTGATAGATACATATGGTGCATCACCCGGAATGGTCCCTATGGACCATCAACGTGGCTGTCTTTCGATTATTCTAACACGTGAGCTTCGAATAAGCGCCCTAAATTTGTTAGAGTTAACGTGTTAAAACGTTTGAAAGACAGCTGCATTGATGGTTCGCATGGGAACATGGGGAATGCACGATGCATCTGGCCTACAGACATGCTCACTTTTTTACAATTGTGGTATCTACATGACTCATGCTTCAACGCGTTCTTTCTCATGCGCGCGAAACTCAGAATGATGCTCAAGTAAACCAACTTTTCACAGCGCACAATCAAGTCCGAGAACAGTCAACACGACACATAGGTTTCGAAACTTTTTAAGAAAAATGGGCGGGAAGGAGGTAATAAAATGTTATGTAGCCCGAGTATTATGTCACACAATCAAATGTGCTCCAGGTTTCACTCATAAATCTTGGCATATCATTAGATTTTGGTGTTGCTGGAACAAAGATTGTTGCCCATTTATTCGACTGACTTGTTGGCCTAGTCGCCTTTGTCAGAGCCTACATATAAAGCACAGAACATTTATAATTACTGCCATTAAATATCTCATCAGATGCAGGAAAAGATCTAAGAAGTACATTGGGCTTCTATCTAAACATAGCATATAGCTCATCTTAACAGGTAAAAATTGTTAGAGACCAGCGCTGGCTGGTATGCGCTTCACGATAAATGAGGTCGGTCTGCGGAGGTTGAGATCACGGGTCATATACATTAAAATCTCCGCTGCGGAATGGATCGCAGCTTAAAAGAAAGCTTCATATCCTGAAGCTCCAGGTACTTGATTTTACGGTATCTATTTATCCATAAGTATTCTTAACACCACTTACTATGAACGTAATGAAGAGGAGCGAGAAGTATAGAATCCGCATTTACAGCTTTTTGCATGATCTCCTGATGATCACCGGCGCCTGACCGTCTTATCTTTAAAATGAGTTTTCTTCCTTCAAAGTCCAATCTAACTCAACGGTGCTAAGCATGTTTTTGATGTAAACAATTGAGTTATTGACAATGTGAGATTGGTAAACCCCAAATCCCGACTTGTATTTCAGAAAATTTCATTAATCTGATAATTCAGCTGATCTTATCAGAAACATGCTTAGCTTTGTAACTATAGAGTACTCACCTAACCTTGGGATTTCACTAACTTCAATGAAAAAAGCATTCTGAAGAGAAGATCGGCCGCTGGGAACACCAGGGGAATATATGAAAAGTTGGGAAATGCGGCTTGCAGAACTTTTCGCTCATGTTGATTTTATAGTGACGGATAATAGGAACACTTACGGATAGGTAGACAGCCAGATAGGGCCATCCCTCCCCGGCTGGGATGCTACTGCATGCGGCCCCCAAAACTTCAGGAAAGGCGCGAGCTCAGTAGTCACACTGATGCATTCGTATTTCCGATTCATTTTAGGATCCTGGAGGAAATCCAGCACACCTCAAGAGTTTTTCACGCTGATCTGGCTTGATAATGCTAACCGAGATATCGAACTTTGCATTTTAGTGACAGAGCAGACGGTGGGCCCATAAAAGGGTCGACATTCATGATCTTCGTCAACGTGCTCCTTGATCCTGACGCATAGCGGCCTTCTTGTATCTCCTATGTACAGATGATGAGAGAGACAGTTTCTGAGCACATACAATCCCCACGCCTGTTGTTTCGTAAATAATACAGCTCGCGCTATTGCACGCTCTATTTGTGCTCTCTTTTGCACTAAACGCTGTTTTGAATTGGAGGCGGGGCGAGAGGAATCTCTACAAACCTCGACAAAGTTTGCGAGCCTGCTACCGTGATATCTTTGCTCATCTCATCCCAAACGAGGGAGGCATAATGGCACCTTGCTCTCAGCACTCTACTGCTGAGCTAGCGTCGTTCTTGACTCTATGTAACTTATGATCTCAAACTCTGGAGACCGTCCCCATTTATCGCAAAGCGTGTACCAGCCAGCGGTGGTCTCTAACAATTTTTATCGGCTAGGTGAGCTATGTTCTAGATTTAGACAAAAGGTTTTCCCCTATGCTAAGCAACAAAATCTAGTTGGCTTCAATACATCAGTGCTGAGTCGACGGCGGCACTTCATACCACTACACCACTCCACTTGCCCATGAGACTCGCAATTGCTAATTAACTAGAAAAATCAAACCAAATGGTAGCCTGTTCCAGGGCGCAAAGCAACCTTTACACGCACCTATAGTAAGATTGTCTACTATTTTGAAATATTCGGTTATGTCATAGGACTTGTTCTAAATGCTGCTGCATATTTCCGCTGTAGATCTGTAATGGTCAACAAGTCAGTATAAATTTCTACTTGTTCACATGCATTGCGCCAAAGGTTAATCACTGTTTTCAGCGTTGTTTCACGGCAGGTGAGACAAATACGTTATTATCTCACAATAGCTGTTATCTCCACACTACTAGTGGCCATGCCTGATACTAAGCAGATAATTCTTGGCTTTTTACGCAATAAAAAAGTAAGTATCTGCAGTTGTCTGGATGATTTTCAGGTCTGTGGCAATGCTTCGGCCCCTTTGAATCGGGTCTAAATCAATTTGATACCGTAGCCGTTGTCGATTTTTGGCAAAGATGCTGTCATGGTTAACATGATAAATTTTTTTTCAGAATGCTCTGCACGATTGGTTGTCGCAGCTTTTCAATACAATGAGTCTGTTAGCCTCTTCCAATAATTTGTTTGTCTACCTTGCTCTCAGTAGGGCATTTCGCAAGGAATTCTTTGAGACCTTCTGTGAGTTTTACAACCTTAAGTTTCACCTCGAAACCTTCAACATCACGATTTCAGCCACTCAAAAGCTCATAAAAAGAAGACCGCCAGTATCAGTGCTGTATGTCAGAAGGAACAGATGATGTTCCATGATGCTGAGACTTCCTAATGAGCTTGTTTTGTATCTTGAAGATAAATTTCGGATTTTAATACTATGACTGCGCTTTGCATTCAACATTATCTTTTCTAATTGTAAGAGGTTAAATGCGCAGCCCGCGTGATTCAATATGACAGATGTCACAATTTGCAAATTTCTTACACATTCGGCCGAAAGTTCCGCGGAACATCAAAGAAGGCTCCAACGGGCCCTTAGAGCTTTTCAATCAAGGCTGCATAGCTTTTTCAAACAAATGTCCTGAAACCTTCCCCGAAATTCAATCTTGTGCATTCTCAGATACCGTTCTTTGTAACTATCCCTATCACAATTCTTTGCTGTTACTGAGTTGGTCATCCAACCAGGGTCAAGCGTGTGATGCGACTGTCGCAACGGGGGGGGGGGGGGTCGTAAGCGGAGTACCTACGGTGGGGGGGGGGGAGGGTGTAAAAGGAGGTAGTTTGGATAAAAAATCGGTAGCATGAAAGGAAATCGAATGGCAAATAATTATTTATTTATTTATTTATTTATCAATATACACACAAGGGTGCACCGACAAAAATGGAAATTAAAAACAAGAAACAACAATTATTACATGTTCTTAACAAGTATCAAGTAAAAAAGAGTGAACAATAATTTGAAAACATTTGCAAACGTAGAAATTCGCTTCATTTGTGCACTTTTGAAAGATTAGGACTTAGTTCTCTTTCTTTTATGGGAATCACTATTTCTCCCGCAAAATATAGTCGCAAACGGGGATCGAACCCTGCTGGCATGACTAAAATCAAAAAATAAACACTTTTAGAAGCTTAAGTGCTACTAAAGGCACGCATGTGTGATAAAGATGTTAGATGTACCGATTGGTGTAGCCATCCTGCTTCCGAAGGCTCACAGTCGACTCGCACACTCGACAAAAGCGCATATCTCTATCAATGCTAATCATCAATAATTTGTAAATCTGTTTGTAATGCTTTTCATACGGTCTTTACACCTTGTTTGTACTTTAGAGGTGCTCTACTACATTTTTGCAAAATTTAATCCTACTTTATAGGCTTCGGACTTTCCTATGATTTTATGTATGGTGGCAGAAAATGACAAAAGGGTCCGGGTCGCATCCAAATTTTTCCGGAGCTATTGAAGCTTGTTGGCTGCAATTTTGCTATAATACATGGCCATCCTCCTACTTTCTCTTATAAAAATTGCAGGCTATTTTATAACTTCTCTGGTAAGTTACAAAATTTCAAGCTCAAAAATCTCAGTTTTTGTTTTTTAGGTCGCATCTAAATTTGCGAGAGTTGCATCTAGATTTTTTCGAGCTTACTGCTCCTCAAAAGCTGAAACTTTTTCTATGGATAGTATGGGCACTATGCTACAGAACTTGTTCATTGCAGCCTCTCAGTCTTTTCCTGGCCTTAGTTACGAATTTTCGAACTAACGTGCTCATAGACGTTCAACATAGATCTGTATGGCGCTAAAGCGGTTTTCTTCGCAGGGAAAACTGTGCAAGAGGTAGGGAGTAAGCTTCTTAGTCGAAAACATCTTTTTTAATCCAAAAACGTCATGTTTTTCTCCGTGAAAAATCTGTGTTGCATACGGGAATCGAATTTGCTGGCCTGAAGTGTGCCTGAAAATTCAAAAAACTTGCAGAATCTCAAACATTATTGAAGGTGTGTATGTGTGCTACAGATGCTGGGCGCACCCAGTGGCCAAGAAATTCTGCTTCCAAAACCTCACTGGAGTTCTCACGTAGGTGTTTTTTGAGACTGACATTTGTTTATGAAGGTTACCGCGAGGAATGTGGGCAGGGGAGGTAGGGAGTAGATGGGAAGGGGGGGGATAGATCGGACAGGGGGTCGCACGGATGTCGTCCTTCAAGGGAGGGGGGTCGTAAATGAGGGTCCCGGATCGCATCAACACGCTTGACCCTGCATCCAACCCTTACCTCATGCTACACCATTGCGAATGTATACGGAAAAAAATCTCGGTTAATGACTCCTCACATTCTGTAAAAGGACGACCTACCAACTTCCACAAAAGACACACAGCCTAAATACGGAAGTATTGGTGCCATCACACCGCACTTTTTTATTTTCTTTTACATTTTGCTAACCTCTGAGTGCACGAAAAGATAAATCAGTACTTCTGGATGAATCATTCTATAATAAAAAATGTCAAGCGTTCACTTACGTGTTGACAAGTTGCGGGATGAGGCGATTGATTGCGGTGGGTATGAGGCTACAAATATGAGCAAGGCTAGGGCTAGCGTGTTTTCATAGTGGTAAGCATCGTTGCGTATCGGGTTTTAAAGGGATGCACCTATTGAGTGCAAAAATTGTTATTTCGGAGGCGCCGACACTTTTGCTGGGTTGCTAGCAGTTCCCCCCCCCCTCACAAGTGTATCATGGGGGTATGACTGATTTCCTTGTTGCTGAGTTTTTCACATTGGTACCAGCCTGTCTGGTTTTCGACATGCTGTGGTACCCTTACACGTTCGTGTGAGTGCTGTAGTAATCTGTTCACATCTTCGTGTTCCTGCTAAAGTATTCATGGCTGCCCTTACGTTTAACACAAGCCAGTGATGATCAATGAGAACAGTTCTTTCTTACTTCCCCGATATATTGGCAATATGGTGGGCCTCTATTTTTTCTCAAAATATCATTTTGTTGCTGTCATAGGGCAGATCTTCCAATTTGTCAGGCTCATCTAGGTCAGTACTGTAGGGGTTCGCAGGGCAGTTTCTATTTGGATTACCGTGTAAGCTCAAACAGGACAGCTCAATCCCATAATTATAGTCTGGTTTAAAGAACATTCCTCTCCTTGAATGATCGGTCTGCAAACGGTCCATAGGGCACTTCTTTTTCAAAATTACGGGTCTGCAGACGATCCGTAGGAGGTTCCTTCCAGGTATGTTAGTAGGGGAAGGGGGCTTGTAGGTAATCGCAAAGGGCATTGGTCTGCAAGCTTCTCAATTCTTTTTTTATACTCATTCAAATCTCTTCCACAGAGCAATTATCGGTATGTAGGCAGCGGCACGCTCCTTAAGGCTGCTTTTTCTTAGAAAATCGGTCTGTATGCAGCCATAGGGCAGTTCTTTTTCGAAGCAAAACTCGTCCATAGAGCAATATTTTCAAGATTGGTTTGTGGGAAATAGCAGGGCAGTTTTTTGGTGAAAAGTATTTCTTTTTTTCTGGAAAAAACTTCGGTTTTCAAGCAGCTCACAGGGCAGTTCTTCCTGAGATTATATGTAAGGCACTTAGGGCAGTCCCTCCTAATAACTGATTACTGGTCTGCAGGCGGCCCGTAGGACAGTTTTTTTCTGAAATATTTTGTACGCAGCCTTACAACTTCCTTAAAATATTGGTTTGTAAGGGGCCTGTGTGGCATATTTCCCATATTTTTTCTAGGGGCTTGTAGGGGCTATTTTTTCTAGAGGCTGGCACTCCTTCTCAAAATAGCACTTTGTAGATGGCCATAGGAAAGTTTATTTCAAAATATTGGTTTGTATGAGGCTTGTGGGGTACTAAAAATAATGGCGGGCGATACACACCGCTCTTTCCTGATAAATATCAGTCTGTAGGAGCTTCTTCTTCTTAGAGCGGTCTTCTCATGAAATATTATCTGTAGGGAGATGTAGGTCAATTCTTTTGTAAATCGCTCCTTAGGCGGATCGGAGAGCACTTATTTCTCATGAAAACTGGTCTGTAGGCGGCATAAGAAACTAATGTTTATTGTCGATGCCAAATTTTTTCTGGAACTAGGACATTTTGCGTATTGAGTTTTTGTAGAATACATTGGTTGAGTTTCGACTGTTTTTGAATGATAATGGAAGTAAATAACAGAAGTCATCAATCAGTTTCTTATTGACTAATGCTCGCAAGATTATTGTGATGAGACAGCGCAAGAAGACTGTCATGGTTCCTGAGAAAATGTATCTTGTCTTTATGATGATTTTCATTATGAACTGATAAATTCATAAAGTGAAGTTCCTTGAAAAAGTTTTTTCTTGTATGGAGAGAGCGAGTCCCTTTTTTTTTTTTGAATAAACATCTATGAAGAGGGATTTGTGTAAGGGCCATTCGAAAAAAGGTCGATATTTTCTCCAGTATTCCCTATTTACCTTTCAGGGCTCGGCACGAGCTGGCACCAGGGAAATTTTCAAAACGAAGTCCCGTTTGATATTGAAAATTTCGTACGAAGTTCCTTTTGACCTGTTTTGAAAACCCATCATCATTTTTATACTATGTAAAAAAATATAGTAGTGTTTTCATGCATTTCTGATTTCATGAAAGAACTTTTTACAGCTTTCTGAGTTTTTTAAGTGGTCGAATCACATCTTGAGAAGCAGAAAAAGCCGATTTTTCGACGGCGGAGCGGACCGAGTGGTTTTCAAATCGCTATAAAACGCTGAAAAGAGAACATTATGAAACTGTTTCTTCTCCGTATGTAATCTTTAACAGTGTAGATACATTTTATGTAAAAAAGTATGAAAACTTATGTGAGCAAAGTGTCGGTGCCAGCCCAGCTGGCACCCAGCTGGCACGGTGCCAGCTAATTCAGAAAAAAGTTGGGCACAGCTTTCATTCACATAAGTTTTCATAAATTTTTGGCCCGTAGTTCCGGTCCACCAACGCGCATGCACACACCAAATTTGGTGTCATACTATTGCGTTTTGGCTGAAAACAACGCCTTTGTTTGTTGATGGACAGTTTGCCAATGGCATGCCGGTGGCATGCCGGCGGCATGCCGGCGGCATTTTTGCGGCAGTTCTCCGCCTCGGCCCCTGTAGAAACGATATCCCCTTTACTTTCCGCGCTAAAAACGATATCCAGCTTGACCCGGTGCCAGCTGTGCTGAGCCCTGTTACCTTTTCCAACCATTGTAGCATGTGGTGTAACAGAATTCTTGGTTATCAGCTCAAAGGATTTCGTAGCGAATCGGCCATAAGGCTTCTGAAGGGGCCCAAGAAAGTAAATACAGATCGAATGTGGA